CACATTGCCTTTTTTTGATGTACATGCATTTTAAAGTATTTCTTTGTATTGTAGTTTTTTTTTTAATTATTTTTTCTTTATTTTTGTGTATACGAGTTCCCCACTCCTTTTTTTTTCGAACCCTCAAAGCTCTCTCTCTAAATGACAGATTCGAAAATCTGATGATCTCGTTCTCACACTTTATTTTGATCCGTCGGTTTTACGGTTCTGAAGTATAAAATTTCCAGATGCCACCAGGTGGGGGAAGGCGGGTGACTGCGCGAGGTGGAGCGATGCGTGCAGTCCCGGGTAGCCACCTGTTGCCGCCCCTACACACACACACACTCACTCACACACACTCACACACACACACACACACACACACAGGCACAACCTGCTTCTTTCCGGAAACTCGGCAAGAAGTTGTGTCCGGAAAGCGACTTGCTCCTCGCGGCCTGCTGCACGGGACGACGTCCAAGAACAACGTCTGTGTAGACTGAACGGACCGGTCACTTGTGTGCACATGTGCGTGCGTGTGTGTGCGTGCGTGCGTGTGTCGCGAGCGTTGCCATTGCCATTACACACACACGCTCCACACACGCACGAACGGTCGGAGACCTGCACGCACGGTGGTGTGTTGCACGGTGCGCTGCCGAACGATTCTCAACCTCAACCTCTCTTTCTCGCTTATCTGTCTTCCTTTTTTTTAAAAAAAAAAACCTTTTTTCCCATCCGGTCCAAAGAATAAAATATCACCGCTCAACAAGGCACGCGGTCGGCGATATTTCGGCGTCCGCAGGTCCGGACAGAGCGGAGAGCCCCCGCTCGGCCTCCTTCTCCTTCTCTCCCACGTGCCGCCTCGGCCGCCTGGGCCGCCTCGTGACACGGGGGAGGGACGAGGACGGAGCGTTCACCCGTGTGGTGGGTACGTGGCGTGGCGAGGGACTTCCAGGAGGATGGCACCGCCAGGGCACCGCCACGTGACAAGTTCAAGGCTTCGACTGTGCGACGCGCAGGGCGAAGGAAAACAAACAGAGCTTTGAAAGGGAGGTACAGAAGAAGAAAAAACTTACTGTAAAAAGCTCCTTTCAAAAACAAACAAGGCTCTGTCTCAGTTTGTGTTTTGGCCGTTTGCTGAAAAACCCCGCTCGCTTACGTAGGTAGACTGCGTCCCGGCTGAGAGAGGAGCGGCTAGGGATCATCCAGAAAGTACGTCCGTTTTCCTCGGATTCATTCGGCAAAATACTGAAGCTTGGCGCCTGTAAGATTCAGGTTAGGCCACCCCGCCGCACACGTATGCATCGCAGGCAAGATGTTGTCTACCTACCAGGCGCCATGAGAGCTTGCAAGGGCTGAACTTGGCAGGTTTGTGATGGCGAATGACGGACCTACTTTCTGGATGAACCTCTCCTCCGTGTCCATTTTCGGGCGAGTCCCTAATGTCTTTCTTGGTTCTGCTGGCTGTGCCGTCTGCCTATCCGACAAGTCTCGTCATCCGGAAAACAAAAGCAACAAGGATGTAAAGGCGGGAGGGATATACACGACAGACACTCTGACCTCGAGTCGTCCGTCCCGCCGCTGCGGCCCCGCCCGGGCCGGGCCATCGGTTAGGGCCGATCGGTTTAGCTTCCTATACATACTGCCGGCACGAAAACACCAGAAAGGCATCTCTCTACTTTGTCGCTGCTTTTGTGTTTTGTGTGTTGCAAAGCGCTCCCCGCGTTAGGATGCACCACGCACATGCAGCATGCACTCGTATGGACCAGAGCAGCTACGCTACGCCCGCCCCGGACACGCCAACAAGCAGCACCAAAAAAACCTTGCTATGCTCCACCAAAGCGGCGGCACCACACAGGAAGCGGCAAACTAGTTATTGTGGAAGCACACGCCATGCCGCTGTAGGCCCGCTGTGGGCGTGGGCAGCCGTGACGTCACAGCAAACTGGGCCATCACCCTGCTGCACCCCCCCCCCCCCCCCCCAAGTGCACTACTGCCAACACCGATCCCCAAACTGATAAACCCATAATGGCCGCGCCACGCGCCGCCGGGGCCCATCCCCGGGCGCGCCATGACCACAGTCAATATAAAATTACACAAAATCGCTCGCCGCGCTTTATTCTCTCGACGAGGTAAAGAAAAACGAGATCCGCCCCGCGCCGCCCTCCTCCTCCTCTCCCTCCACCCCAAGCTGACTAATTTCACTTTCACTCGACGTCGTCGTGGGTCTAAAAGGGACTTATTGGCACGCGGCGTATCTGCAAATAGGTGGGAGAGCAGCAGCAGCAGCGGTGACATGAAGTAGCCAGCTTGTGCCTTGTGAGATGTCGGTGTGATTACCGCTCATGATTACCATAATTCGGTCGTAGCATGACATGGCGTGTGGCGGCGGGGCGCCGCTCGAGGGGGGGAGGAGGGGGGCGCATAACCTCATAATGAGCCCAATAATAATGAGCGACCAATTAATTAGTATCGCGATCCGCAGTGTAAACACACGACTGCGTGTCTGTGAGCCGCGCGGGGCCAGCGCCGGGCGTGAGCCGCGCGCTCCCACTTCCCCCCCGGCCGCCACCATCTCGTCTGTCATCGAGGAGACGAAAATTGACCAATTTCGAGGTTAATGTGGAATTGATTACGTTGCTGTAGGTCAGTGGTGCCAGGCCTGGCGCGCGCGCCTTCGGCCCGCCACAGTGGCTTATCGCGCGCAGAGATGATTCAGTCAACGACCGTGAAACACTTTTCTTTTTTTTTCCGGGGATCGTGTTACACTGTACGCGCGCAGTAGCGGTGGCGGCGGCGTGTCGAGGTTCGTTTGTTTCGATATCTCGATCGCAGTACCACGCGATATACCCGGCTGCTGACTAATCGATTGATATTGATACTTTATGCCCCCTATCCCCCCGGCTATATACCCCCCATTAACGCGTTTCTTTAGCATCATTGTTTTCCCACCTCTCTCGCTCGCCTCGGTATTTTAATACACATGTGGCAACGCCGCTTTTGCCCTTTTGCCGTATTTGGGGGAAACGTACTCAAGGTGGTCGGGCTAGGAGGAAGAGGGGGAGCTTGGTCTGTGTGGGTGCAAGGGATGTAATTACGGGTAGGGGGCTTCTCTAGTCCTTTCCTTGAACCCGTTAGCCGTATATACCAGGTTTGCTGGCGCGAGTGTGTATGTGTGAGTCAGTGCCG